GCCTGATGATGTGGACAAGGTGCTTGGACAAGTACGTCCCAGCACCTGTTTACTTGACCCTTGCCCGTTGAGGCTACTGACCAAAGGCAAACACGGGTGCCCGGATCCTGGAGGTCATCAACGCCTCTCTGAGGGATGGCCGGATGCCTGCCTCTCTAAAGGAGGTGGTATTCAGGCCAGTCCTAAAGAAGGTGTCCCTGGATCCAGAGATGGCCACCAATTATAGACTGGTGGCCAGCATCCCGTTTTTGGGCAAGGTGTTGGAACTGGTGGTGGCAAGAAAACTCCAAGTACTCTTGGATGAGACTGACTATCTGGACTCAATTCAGTTCGGCTTCATACCCGGGTATGGTACTGAATCTGCCTTGGTCTCCCTGTATGATGACCTGTCCAGGGAGAGAGACAGGGGGAGTGCATCCCTGTTGGTCCTCCTGGACCTCTCAGTGGCTTTCAATACCATCAACCATGGTATCCTTCTGGATAGACTAGCGGGACTGGGAGTAGGAGGCACTGCTTGGCAGTTGTTCTGCTCCTACCTCAATGGCCGATTCTAGAAGGTGTTGCTGCGGGAATTTGGCTCTGCACCATGGCAGCTATGCCATGGAGTACCACAGGGATCCATTTTGTTCCCCTTGCTATTCAACATCTACATGAAACTGCTGGGAGAGGTCATCAGGAGGTGTGGGCTGCGGAATCATCAGTATGCTGATGACACCCAGCTCTACCTCTCTTTTTTAACTGATCCAGGTGAGGCAGTGGCTGTACTGAATTGGTGCCTGGACAAGATAATGGGCTGGATGAGGGCCAATAAACTGAAACTCAATCCAGACAAGATGGAGGTCCTGTTGGTGGGTGTTTGGGCTCCTGTGTAGGTGACTTGGAACTTGTCCTTAAAGGGAGTTGCACTCCCTCTAAAGGACAGGGACTGCTGCTTGGGAGTGCTCCTCGACTCAGAGCTGTCTTTGGAAGCTCAAGTGACTGCAGTGGTGAGGAGCGCTTTCCTTCAGCTTTGGTTAATCCATCAGCTGCGTCCCTACCTGGAGGACAATTGCCTAGCAACAGTGGAACATGCACTGGTTACTTCCCAATTGGATTTCTGTAACACGCTCTATGTGGGGTTGCCCTTGAAGACAGTCCAGAAACTTCAGATGGTGCAAAATAGAGCAGCCAGGTTGCTGACTGGGACTGGGCGTTATTCTCATATAACCCCAGTCCTCTACCAGCTTCAATGGCTCCCCATTGAAGTCCAGGCTCAATTCAAGGTGCCGGTTATCACCTATAAAGCCCTTAACAGCTTGGGACCTGGATACCTAAAGGAACACCTTCTTCCATATTCTTCTGGAGGAGGGCTTTCTCTGAGGTGGCGCCCCACCTATGGAATGCTCTCCTCAGAGAGGTCCACCTGGCGCCGTCATTTGTTTTTCAGTGCCAGGCCAAGATCTTTTTATTGAAACAATATTTTAACAACTTTTAATATCATATATAGGTTATAACTTGCAGCCAGGGCGAATCTGGATTTTATGTGCACTATTTGTACAGTTGTTTATTTATTGTATGGAAGCTGTCCCGAGGCTTATGCAAATGGAATGGCATACAAAATTCTAAATAAATAAATACAAGATAAATAAATAAACCAGACTTTATTAAAAATTGCTGGGTACCACTGTGAAGGTCACTGTGTCTCTAGTCTGCACCACACTGGGGG